TAAAGCTATTATGTTCCATTATAGCAACCTTAATTGTGATTATTGTGAAGCAAGGATTGCGAGGCTAAAGAAGTCTGAAGAAGAAGGTGAAGTCTGGCTAAACACCTCAGGGATATCTCTGAAATGACTCCAGAAAGAAAAGAGCACGTTTTACTCTGGAAGCAACCCACTGATTTCCATTTGTTTTGCTCCAGAATAAGTATGAGCTCATTAGCATGTAATCCATAAAAAGGTCATGCTTAATTCCAGGAGAAGTGTAGGATATTGTTCCTCAGTGCAGTAGTAAGATCATTTAAAATTCTTAATTTAACCATTTAACAAGGTGACCATTCCCACTCTTCTCTTCTCTGCTGTTTGGACAGTGATGTACGTGACTTCATTCATGGGATAAACACCTCTACTGCCTTAGCTCCTGCATTCAACCCATGTTTCTATCTTGAAGGCATCAGTAATCTGGTTTATTCAGAATAAAATCCCCATGAAAGTTATTTTGTTTTAGTGAACTTACTTAGGATAAACTAATGCCTCAAACAGCTTTCTCAGACTTGGTAGGTCGATCTAACCGCAGTTTCCACAATTTTAAGCCAGATGATTCCAGCCTGTAAATGGTGAAAGCAATCATCCATCTTTTCTATCACTATTTAAATATAAATTAATATTTTTAAAAATGCATGATAAAATAATGGATTGATCAATAAATATTAATATGTATTTAGATAAATTTAAATTGGTTGGCTTTAAAAGCAGACAGCTGAACGTTTATGTCTTTTTTTCAAGATAGCTGCAATTAAATCTTTGGACATACTTTCATCTTTATTAGAAACCACAGTTTGGGGAGGAATTTTTAAATGATTTTTCTGATACCCACATACTGCAGTGGAACTAAAAGAGGGACAAGAAAAGCAGGCTTTTTCCATAACTGCAAAGGACTTGACATGTAAACTCAAAGGCAAGACTTTCTTAAATGGCTCTTTTGCACAGCCTCCCCCAAACAGTAGACAAAATTGCATTGTTTACAAAAATTTATTAATACAAACTTTACACACTTTAAAATAACATTGCTCAAAGTCCCAGCGGAGACCATGAGTGCTTATAATCGTATTTTTTTTTGTTCTTGCCGCAGTGCTTTTGTGATACTCAAGCTGCTACACAGAAAAAGGAGAGGAAAAAAATAGATATATAGATATAGATATAAATATTTCCAAAAGACTGACATCTAACCTCAGTGATCACTGGATTTCCAAAAGGGGATCCACTGGATTTAAGGCTCTTGGCGGTAGCTATTTTACAAACAGGCGATCACTGGCCGGATAGAAAAACGTACCCCGGCGGACTGGCTGCAACCAATTTGCTCTCTGACCGCCGGGGCGAAGCTGATCGCCACAAGCAAGTCAAAGGCAGAGCCCGCGAGGTCGCCCTCTCCGCACCAAGCACATGACGCGCGCGCGCACACAACAACACTTACACACAACCATACATTTTTTTAAAAGGGCGAGGGGGGCGGGGGACAAGTTCTGCTCGCTGTTTTTTTTTCTTCAGCGAAGCGGCTCAAGAAATTCAACCCAAAAGGGAAAATGGGGTCGGAGGGGGGGTAGAAAAGAAAAAAAATGAAAGAAAGAAAGGCAAGCGGATATCTTGCAGCATTGTAGGGCCACTAAATAGCCATCTGTGATCTCGTGGCGATTTTAAAAGGCGAAGGGAAGGCACGGAAAGTTGCGTCCTACAGCACATGGCCTGAACGGCAGGCGAAACTCCCAGGGAAGTTGCGCTTCTCCACTCCGCCCCGCCCCGCCGCCGCTCAGTCCTCTGGTCGAAGGCCCGCGGGCTGCAGACGGGCCCTTTGGAGCCCCAAGGAAAGCTGTCCAGGCTGAAATACTCCGGGCCCCGGCTAGGCAGAGGGCAATTCCTTACTCTAACGGGAAAGGGGGAGGGTTTCAAACCCAAGCCTAGACCGGGTTTAAACTCTGTCCTATTTTTCCAAGCCGTGGCACTTACTCCAGTCCCTTCCCAACGGGTGCCCCAGGAGGGTCGATCGCGTTGATGGGACAAGGATCAGGGCACAAAGTTCCCAAATTGTCAGCCCATGTCCCCCGCCGACTGAGTAAGGCAGCTGGCGATTCCTATGGGAGGGGTTATTGAGGTAAAATCAAACGGAGCGGTGATTTCAGACTACAGTTCTACTGATCGTTGAAGATCACCTTTGGAAGGAGAATATTTTTTAAAAAAAAATTACATGCATCTTAAAATAATTTGTTGTGGTCGCTCGTTTATGCCTTATAACTAGAAGGAAAACAGGGGAAGCCATTAACACTTTGTAAACAAGGAAGTGATCTCTTGGACTGGAGGAGCCTAAAAATATTAAGCTGTTTGAATTCATTGTCACTTGTAATATACAAATACTGAGGAAATCAGTGGCTGGATATACAGCCAGTCTTTATCAAGTGTGCAGAGTGGGGAATGGAGTATATCTTGCCACTAATTTCCCCCTTAACCACTCCTGTTTTGGAAATGAAATAGGAATAGGTCTAAATAGGATTTTTTTTTTTCATTGAAATGGCAGAAATTCTCCTGAGAACGTCTGAAGGTTTTCCAGAGAGAAGGCTGTGTAAATCTATCATTTGAAACTACCAAAGGTCTCGTGACACCTTAAACACTAAGGAATGTTGTCGTTGGTGTTGAAGGTGCCACAACCTTTGTTTATGCTGAAGATCGTGCTGGTGTTTAAAAAACCAAGTGCCCTTGATTTCAGTGGAAACCAAATGATTGGTTTACTGCTCGTTTTCCTACCTAGTTATTTGGATGACTTCGGTTTATTCATATCTGTGAGAGGCATTGTGCTCGGGCCCACCATAGTCTAGATAGGTGAATGAACAGGAGTTTAGCTTAGTCCCAATACTTTAAGCTTTTTGATTGCAGCACTTTTATTGGATTAAATCCAAATTCTGCCAACTGAATCGGGAGATACATATAGCTGTTCATTCTCCGGATGAGGGAAGGGGAGGAAATAAGTACCTTCTTAGTCCATTTCTAAACCATTCCAGTCCACCCCCACCCCTCACCCACCTCCCCATCACATTTTCAAATCCCCGTCCATACAGAAAGATGATTGATAAATATCAGAAACTGAAGCGCAGATGGACACTACACATTCTAGTATGACAAAAGTTGATTGTATGAAATAAATTTTACTAAGCGGTTAAAGCCATGATGTAGAAAAATACATTTTAAACCTCCAAACTCAATAAATCAACAAGGAACCAAAAGAATTAAAATATATATTTTTAAAAGAACCTTTTCTGTAATAGTGCGTTAAGTATTTAGTAGTAGATATAGAGATATATAGTCGCTACAACAAGGGGAGGGGGCCTGAAACGGTCTTACAATCAGAGCTCGGGTCATAACAAAACTCAAAAATGCCTGAGGCGTTCACAATATAATTTGTTCGTTGTTGTTTTCAAGCCAAAACAAACTGAAATGACCTGGATGGAAAACACAACATTGCGAGAGAGGCCAAGAGGGAAGGGATGCATAAAATCTACGGGCAACACCGAAGGCAGAAAACGTGGCTCCCCCTGGCCAGGCCCGGAGGGGCGATTCCAAAGAGAAAAGGCCGGCCAATAGAGCAAAATGCGAGGGCGCCTGGGCAGCACTGGAGAGGTGCACGGGATCCTTTGTAGCGCGGTGGCCCTAAATCTCTGGGGCGGGCTTGAAGATAATTTTGGGGTGTCCCCTCGGGTTATTTCATGCCTTACTAGAAAACGAGTCCAGCAAGGCGAAGGGCCCCGTCTGGACAGCACCATCTCCCTGATGAACTGGTTTTCTAGCGGCAGAGCATTTCTTTCTGCTCCTCCCAGCTCTAGCTGAAGTGGTGCCATCCGCTATATCGCGCCCACTGCGCGGAAGCGAGAGAACCAATTTATTTGACTTGGAGCCAGGATTGCATCAATCTAAACTCAAAAGGGCTGAGGAAGAGATACTTCTCCCGTTCCTTAAGGGGAGCTTTCTAACTCCTGTAGTTATTTCTAGAAACAGGAAGTATGAATAGGTGCGTATGTGCACACGCACTTAGAAACCAACCTACTCTTCGGGTTTGGAGGAAGGGCTTCCCCCACCGTATCCTTCCCTGAAAAATGCACATTGGTACATTTTCACTTACTCACTGAATGGGAGCAGCTACAGTACTGAGCCCTAAATCTTTAAGGGGGTCCGAAATGGGCTAGTTCTCTCATAGTTTCTCTCTCATAATAGCAGGAAGATCTGCTGAATGGGAGAAGGAGGGTCAAAAAAAAAACCCAAACTAGAGGGCAACAGGCTGGTTGATGCTGCATATTGTGCAGCCCAGAGTAAGCTCACTCTTCATGGGGGTGGGGGTGATTCTTAGGAAGTAAGGCAAAGCCTTCTCTAGCCTGAGATGGGAATGGGGGGTAATGGCCAAGGGCTTTTCGGGAAAGACTCCCAGGGGCCAGAAATGCTCTCTGTTCGAGAGCATCCTAAAACCCCGTGGGAAAGAGTATTTTTTGTGAATACATTTTCAAGTGGAAAACAGTTATTCTTTCAGCCCTGTCATAAATAAAAAATACTCTCCTTTATTTTCCATTACAAAAATAGCAATGATTGTCTCCCTCTTTCTATCTCTTCTATTTTATACAAAAACATAAGCTTAGAGGAATGCCCTCAGTTTTTTTGTGCAAAGCTAACCACTAAAGGACTATTAGTCTGGTCTGTTCACTACCCCAGAGTTTTACCCAAACCGCTACCTTTCCAAACAGTAAGGTAGGTGCCTGGGGATGATAGGAGTTGTAATCAAGCAGGGAATCTGGTTGGGGAAAGCTCTATCACTAATGCATTCTTATCCAAGACTTATTTATTATTTTATATCTATTTATTTAAAGGGTTGGTCCACAAAGTAGATCTGTGCGTTTCTCTAGTGCTTACTCTTAATTTAATTTTTTTTGTACAAAAGAAAAACAATATTATTATCAAAATAGTCATTTAATGGCTTTACTTCATACATAAATACATGTTTAGATAACATAGGAGAGTGGTGATTGATCAGTCAGTTTGGAAATGACTGGGGGAAGGGTGGTCCTCTCTCAGATTTTTTTTTTCCCCAGGGGGACTCTTGTGTACACAGGAGTGGTTGGGAGCTCATCGCTACAAATAAGCTACTCGCCGTCCTTTGTTTTTAACTCTTTGTTTATACCTTTTACCCAGAACTGCTGCCAAGTATTTCTTGACAGCCATTTGTTTTCGGTAGCGGCTGTAACTGTCTGTGAATATGCCATCCGAGTGCCTTTTGGAAAGGGGTTCTGAGTCATCCTCCAGGATGCTGGCCCCGCTGCAAGGCAAAGAAAGAAAAGCAAACCATGGTTGGTGCAACATTGGGATCAACAGACAGCACCAATAGAAGCAGAAGCGAAATCTCTGGGGAGGGCAAGGAAGAAGAAGAAGAAACGTGTATAGAATGGGAACATCCCACAGTCAGCTTTCAATGAAAATGGCAGTGACTAAGATCCCAACAGCTGGGTCCTGGAGAGGTATTTTTCACACCTGTGTGGATTGTTTAAGCAATTTCTTGAACTCTGTATCTTTTATTAACAAGATCCTTTTAACCTTTGATGAGCCTGCTTACTTTGCATTTTAGGTTGCAATGTGAGGATCAGCACTCCCTCTCTTTCTTCCAGGCCAAATGTCCAAACCTCCTCCCAGAAGCTTTGCCTGCCTTGATCACCCCCGTTCCCTTTTTTATTTCATTTTAATAACCTAAGGATTTTTTCCCCCAATCATTATTTGTCTTCACTCAAACATATCCCAAAGAATTTTTGGCTGGGTGGGAACTGGAGTGTTGTTTTTGTTCTTCTTTATGTGGTTGCTTGGTGAACGGCTAAAGCAACACGTAGACTGTGGGGTAGAAGCAAAAGGAATCAGTGGTAGAGGCTCTTCCTTGAGAAGGAGACAAAGGATTTTTCTCAAACATGCTGCGGAAGTTGATCACAATGCAAGCTGACAGTCGGGAGACCAGCTCGTCACATTCTGCATTATTCATGAATAAATTGTGTAATCCATTCCCCCCTTCATTAAAATGTTGCCTTCTGCTGATAGGTACAGTGACACATATGAGCGTGTTGGGCTCATATCGGCCTGGGAGAATTGATTTCAAGCCACTAAGACTGAGAGGTTCTATTCCCAAGTCCTTCTCTTGTCCTACCCATTTAATTTTCAAGCCACAACATTCTTGATAACTCTATACCTGGATCAATGGAAATGTGATCTTTTCTTCCTCTGAGACAGAGACCTTTAGCACTGATTCATCACAGAGCAGGTTGGGGCAGCAGGGGCAGCATCCATAAAGGACTGGAGTGTACAGCAACTGAGGCTGTTTTATCAGCTGAGCTTTTCGTGCAGTCAGTCTGAAGAGGTGGTGCCAGTGGTATCATATTAAACAGCATTTAGGAATAATAGTGGCACAATTCAGAGATGCAACTCAGAGAACTTAGTCCAACCGATTTTAATGACCCCTCCAAAACACACCAACAATAGATTGCATGCCAAGGATTATCAGATTGGTATCCCAAGTGTAACAATAAAAGGTAATGGCATCTGTGTGGGGGGAGGTGTGTTAAATATTGTTCTGAATTTTACATCCAGACTTTGTAGAGGATAAAAATAGCAAGGAGATTATTGGCCAAGGAAGCAATATTTTACGAAGGACCTGACTTTTGCATTCAAATCAATACTCCTGTCAAATTTGTCCAGAAAGAAATTCCACTGAGTCCAAATGAGGGAAATCTTATTTCCATAAAAAATACATTTTGGATTACAACCCTACAGCCCAAGCCTTATACATGGCACAATAGCATCTAGAATGAATTAAGCTATTGGACCACAGGCGAGCAAGGAAGCTGGCAACTCAAATCAAAAATTCATTTGTATGAATGAAGGAATGTGTGTAGTGCATAGATTAAGTACTCTGGTGCAAAATGCATTTTTTCATTTCTTCCATCAAAGACATGGGACTGCAAGAGATTCAAAGCACATGCCCAGTGGAAAGAAAGTCCATTTTTCTTAAAGCACACATCTTCAGGAGGAAGAGAGAAGGAGAGAGAGAGAGAGACTGCTGAGCATCTAATAGTATGTTAGTGGTGTTTAATACATTTAGCAGTCCTGAGGGTGGGGTTGTCATTAAGCCTTGTTTCTTTAAAAGCTGATTGTTTTGCCCTCTAACACAAGCACAAGCAAACAAGAATCTGCAGACAAGAGATAGCATCTTACCCCACCCGCTTGGCCATCAGGGAATGCAGGTACTTCCTTGCAGATAACTGGCCCAGTACTTTTCTATAGGCTTTGTTAAGTATCCCACCTGTGTGCCTAAAAGGGAGAAGTGGAAAGAGCACAGATTAATAAGCAACAAGGGGTGCTGATTACCCCAATTCCCATAGACACCATGGACATCTTCTTTCCGCCCATCCAACCTCCATCCCTGCAAGCCGATAAGCCACCAAAGAGCAGGGAAAGACCCCTGGGAGGGCGCAGGCATCATCAGTCTGGCCCCTACTCCTTGGGAAGGGAGACCAGGCCGCACCTATCTTGGCAGCCCGGCGTCTGGCTCTCAAGACCAGCTGCTTCACCACCACCCTTCCCCCCCCCTCCGTCGACTTCAAAGGCTGGACGAAGTAAGCCGATGGCTGCAGACTCCCGATTCTCCTTTTTCCAAGGTGGAGGAGAAGCGGCGAGTCTGGTTTCGTCCGCCTTTACTGTGTCGAGCACCCCTTTCCCCTTGCTTGCTTGCTTGTTCTCCCGGGCTGCCTCTGGGGAAGGCCAGTTGATTCAGCTCTCTCTCTCTCTCTCCCCCCTCCTCCTCCTCCCCGCCTTCAAGACAAAGCTCGGAAGCGCAAGGGAAATCCGGCCGCCACACCCACAGATGCGGGCTGAGATGCGAGTGCCACCAGCAGCCCCGGACGACCGATCCTGGGCGCGCCATTCACAAGATACCAATGCAACACCGAATCACCTTTTTTCCGGCGGGTAATACAAAGTGTACATGTCGTCCAGCATGGAGGAAGGGTCGGCTATACTGAGGGGTTCGCTGTCAAAGGCATAGTCCGAAAGAGTGTTGCCCTCTTCGTCGTACATTTCATCTTCCAGCCTAATGAAGGAGAGAACAGACGCACAAGCGCCGCCTTAATTTTTTTTATTATTATTATGGGGGGGGGGGATGTAGCGGAGGGGCAATTTGGCAAGGGGGCGGATGAGAGTCGGCAAGCTCCCACCCGCCCCCTCTGACCGGTTAAGAGGGGCATTCCCGGGGAAAGAGAACGGCACCCCCAACCCCTATCACACACCTGCTGGCGGCTGCAGAAGCCCCGCTGCCTATCCTGACACAACCTCCGAGTGAGAGAAACGCCAGTTCCCTGCCCTAACTGGGCATTTGAAACCGGTTGCCCAGTTGACTCTGGGACGATTGCCCCACCTTTTGGGAAGAAGGGCCTGGGTAAGCCTGACTCCCTTAGCCTAGCGCTTTGTATCGCCCTTCCCCGCTCAGTCTGCCAAAAGACCCCCTTCTGCCCAGGGACAAAGGCGGATCTGAGAGACCAACGCACTTTTGGGGGTAGGGACTGGGTTTTTTTTTCCCCTCGGGTCCAAAGACACTCCGATGCCATTGACCCACGCTGCTTTGGCTTAATCTGCGGGTGTATTTTCTTAGCCCTCCAGGACAATGGAAACCCCAAAAGGAAGAAACGGGGAAGAGGGGGGAGCCTTGGGCGCCAACCCTGGAACTGAAAGGGCAACGGAGGAGACAGGGGCTCCGTCGGGTTGTCCTGGAGCACCGAAGCCTGCCGCGGAACAAAGACATGCGGGCAGCGAGGCTGCTCCCCGGCGGACTTGCACTTTCTGGGAAACCCGAAGGTCGCTCCCTTTCGCCCACCGGCCTCCCACGGCAACGCAACTCTCTCGGCCGCCTCTGCGCGTTTCTTGGCGAGGCGGACAGACACAGGATCCCAACACCGATATCATTGCCTGGGGGACACAAGTCAGCCGGCTTCGCTGCTCCCATTGTACAGCTTCTTCCCTTCCTACCTGAGTGCATCCACACATACCGCCTTCCCACACACAGAGGCCCCTTCCGTCCTCCTCCTCAGTTCGCCTCCTTGTAGCCTTCCCTTCCTCCCCCTACACACACACACACACACAGCCTCCGGTTCCCTGCTTTTAGGTCAATGTGAGTCTCCGGCAGTTATATTGTCGTCGGCGGAGCTCTGGCAGGGAGAGCGATCAATAATAGATGCCCCTCAAGTGTTTCGCAGCTGCTCATTCGGGCGTTTGAAAGCTGCCCTCTGAGCCAAGAAGGGAAGGGGTGTCTCTCACCCGGTTCAGGCCTCTGCTTTCCAACGCCCCCTCCCCACGCCACCTCCCCTCCCCCACTCCATCCCATACAGGTGGGATTCGGGCAGAGGGGAGAGGAGAAACGCGGATAACCGTCCCGAGAACCGGGTGGGTGTGGACAAAGCTGGTTCGTTTCAGGACAACCTCGGAGTCTGCGCAGCAACGCATTTTGCGCTGTTCGGCCGCTCTTTCTGCTATTGCCGAGAGTGCGCCGCAGTCCCCCTTTCCCATGGGAGGGAAAGCCTGTTTTTCTCCCCAGGATTGGTGGAGAGGGAGAAAAAAAAAAACCCCAACTCCCCCTTCTTCCCTTCTCTCCCCACGCAGAGGCACCTCCCAATTCGTCTGGACTAGAATCCAGCAATGCCTTGAACTTCTTAAAGCTTCTCTCAAGGGCTTCGCAGCGCTCTCCGTGTGGGGAGGAAGCAGAGCGTGGGGCGTTTTCCCCTCCAGAAGCAACGCTTAGGACGGCTTTCCTCGACAAAAGCTGGTTTCCCTCAAGTAGCTTTGGAGATTTTCCGAAATGTTCCAATTAGGTCCGCTTTCTGTCCCTTGCCAAGCCTTAATTTGATTCATTTGGGCTTTAGCTGGCAATTAATGTAGACTGCCCCTGAATAAGGAGGCGTTATTCAGTCAAATAGCGATTTCTTTTTATTTTGGACAAGAAATCTGTATAAATCTTGTTAGATCTCCTCTGGTCTCTATTTTTTCAGTCACATACTACCTTGGTTCTCTCTTAGGCTTGGAAGTCACCAAATCTTTGATATTAAGAAGTGCAAGGGGAGTGCACAATAATCGTCCTTAATTGACTTCCACTGTGGATTGTGAAATAAATCTTGTGGCACATAACAATAACTAGATTCCCATATTAAATCCTTCTGTACATCTTTGGGACCAGTCTGGCAAACCAGCCAGAGTTTGAAATTAATGGTATTAAATCTTCAGAGTAATCTGGGTTTTTTTTTTAATTCAATAGACTATTGTAAATTTATTTTAGATTTGGAATTTATTGCTAAACAATTACATTTACATTTTGGGCAGAAATTTTGGGAAGCAAAATTTCACCTTAGGGAGATAGAAGATATTATAAGAGAATCATGTCCTTCTAAGGCATGTTGGTGTAAACCTTTTGGGGTTTTTCCTAGGAATTCCAGAAACAAATTACATTGGGAAAAAGAATAACTGGCATGCAAAAATAACTGGGAAGGAGGAGTCCAACAGTCTTCCGACATTTCCTTACAATGACAGGAAATGAGGTAAGAAATCAACTGTCTACTGAACTGAAAATCATTGGGGATCAGATAACTCCATTCTCAGAATCTGTGTTAGCCAATCTTTCAAATCTTAAAAGAAAGTCAGCAGACAGCATCAGCCAACCAATGCTGCCGTTTGGAAAAGATTTGGTCCTATATCATCTACTGCTTGACTTCAGTTTGCATTACACTTCAGTTAAGTTAAATTTCACAGAATTAAAAATGGTGCCTGCTACAAAATTAAGACACCAATGAATCTATCTCAGGTTCCTCAGTTTTATTACTAGTTACAGAAATGTTTTGCCACTGCTTTCTTCCAAGACAGGTTTCCAGTTTCCCGTGCTAACCTACAGCCCTGGGATGACCGGGATCAATCCTCTTTCAAATTAGCCAATATTTCAGTACGTATCTACTGAAATAAACAGGCATTAATCAAGTAAATCAGATGGTTTGACAATTTTCTGCAAAACTAACATGTACAAAAGGAATCATTTCACTGTGTATTAGATATGATATCCAACCTTGATTCAGACTACCAGCAATGTAACAGATGATGCAGTGTTTTAACCGCAGCCAAATACCTTCCTCTAGTATCTTCTTTCATGCTTACCAGACAAGATAATAAGCTATGGGTAACCAAATTCCAGATCAGAAATAAATAGAGTTCTATGTGTGTAAGTATGTCCTGGAATCTACATAGATATTTACATAGTTTTATTGTAAGGCTGCTAAGTAACACACTGATCTAAGAGTAATATTTATTAAATATTTTAGCCTAACTTCTGGGAAATTATGTACGCACCCATACTTAGAAATAAATTCCATTGGTATAACTGGCACTTATTTCTGAGTAAGCATGGCCATCATCAATGCCTAGCATTAATAAGAATTTCTACATTTTTTTCTTCATGCTGGAGAATAAGCTCAAAGATATGTAAATAATACTTAGAAAGGCGTTTTATCCATTGTGATCCTAAACAGGCACCTAGAGAGGACTATTCTAGGATTATTTAGGACACTAACCTGAGAAGGGGAAGCCACTGACTTCGTGTTTCAGTCAGGGATTCCCAAGAGACTGTGATAGAACAGCCTAGTCCGAAGGAACTGCCCCCACCCCGCTTCCCCAAATCAAAATTATTGCTCTGGAGGAAGACCAGAGGGAGAATAAATCTTGCCAATTTGGGGCAAGATGTAAGGGAAGGAAGTTTCCACTGAGCAATTAATTAAGCAAAACGCACGCACACACATACATGCATAAGCACTCCAGCACGCACGCGCGTTTTCTTCTTCCCTCTCTCTCTCTCTCACACACACACACACACACAAACACGCCTATGTACACACCCAGGTCACAATACTGTAACCTCGCACGTTTTCCTGGCCGTTCCGTTCTCCTAGGCGCCTAAGAACTGCGGCCTGTCTTGAATCTAAGAGTCCCCGTGGACTTCTACCCCAGGCAGGACATACAAGTGGAGGAACCGGGCAATGGCCCCTCTGCCCGCCTCAGTTCTTCCAGCGTGTCTTAGCAGAAGTTGCCCTCCCCCTTTGCCAGATGTGGCGAAGTCGCCTTGGACAGGGGACTAACATTCGCGAGCCTTAATCTGGACAGGTCCGAGCGAGACGGCTGAATCGCGAAGGAGCAGACGAGCAAGGAGCGCCGGGCGGCGACGGCAGCCGAGGCTGGATTCTGGCTTAGGGGGCGGGGAAGGGAGAATAGGGCACTTACCTCAGCGCGGGGTACTGAAGTCCAGCGGCGGCGGCGGCAGCAGCAGGTGAGCAGTAGACGCTGCAGTGCATAATCAGCCCATAAAGCAGCAGGGCGAGAAACGCTTTGCTGCACATCGCCACTCTGGGAAGGAAAGAAGGAAGGAAGGAAGGAAGGAAGGAAGGAAGGAAGGAAGGAAGGAAGGAAGGAAGGAAGGAAGGAAGGAA